AATAAGGAGAATTTGAATTTAATAAAATATGGGTAGTAACATTAAAATTATATAAGCTCATTAAAAGTTAAATATGTTGAATATTATTTTAATTGTATTAAAATGTAAGACACCCAGGTGCAACACTGTTCACGCATTGATATGTATGTAAAAACAAAAAATAAAAAACTTTTTGCAAAAAAAGAGAAAAGATAATTCAGCAGGATCATTCAAGGTCATGCCAGTAGCCCAGCTAAAGCCAGCAGGAACATTTAGTGGGCAGCAACAGTAGTAGGATTCAAATAATTTAACAACTGGTTCTCTGCCCTAATGACCAGCTGGGTAAGCGTGGTTGGGTGAACATGTGACTGGGTGGTCATGGCCAACTCAACATCACTCATATCGAGGAGCACCTTGCCTCGCCTGGTTTCTCCTTGCATGCCCAGCCTCGCCTCACCGCTCCCCTCCCAGCCAGTCCTTGTCACAACCAGCCTCGCCTCTCCTTGACTTATAACCACAATTGAGCCCAAAATTGTGTTGCTAAGTGAGAAATTTATAGTGAATTTTACACCATTTTATGACTTTCTTGCCACATTTGTTAAGTGAATCACTGCGTTTGGGTTAAGTTAGTAACATGGCTGTTAAGTGAATCTGGCCTCCCCATTGACTTTGCTTGTCAGAAGTTTGCAAAAGAGGATCATATGACCCTGGGAGACTACAACCATCATAAATGTGAGACAATTGTCAACCATCTGAATTTTTATCATGTGACTGTGGGAATGCTGCAACAGCCAAGTGTGAAAAGTGGTCATAAGTCAGTTTTTTCAGTGCCACTGAAACTAAATGAACTGTTGTAAATCAAGGATTATCTGTACAAAAATACAAAAAGCTTCTTCACTTGCAAAAAGTTGGCCTAAATATCAATCGTTAGATTAGAAATACCTGCAATACATACTGAACATCAATGAGTCAAAGCCATCGTGAAATCCTAAACCATTGTGTCTGAATCAGGGATGAGATTCATGGTTCTGACCGGTTCTATAGAACCCCTTGTTAACTTTCTAAGCAGTTCGGAGAACTGGTAGTTAGAAGCAATCTCCTTTTGTTTTGTTTTTTCATCCTTATTACATTCTTGCCAGTATGCCTAGACTTCCTGTCTCTGGAGCTTCTGAGGCTTGACTTTCTTAAAGGGGAAGGGTTGTTTTAAGATTTTTACACTGCTGTTGGGAGGAAATACTTTCCTGGACAATCAGCAATTTGAAGAAATAATTGAATAATGAAGCAGAGCTGTCAGAAAAAAGCTTTTAATGACAGGGAACTAAGATGAGTGACATTCAGCAAGGCTTCTTGGCTAGCTAGAAAGATTGACATTCAAATGTGAGTTTTCATATCCTTTCTGAGTTTTGGTTTAAAACTGGTTTTTGGTGAAGGTTAATTCTGTGCTTGGTGATGTTTAATCCTGTGTTTATTGATCGTATACTTTTCCCTATTCAGCTTCAACAAGCAACAGCTACTGTTGTGATTTAATTATTTGTATTGTGTTTTAATTTTTTCCTGCCTCATGGTTTATTTTTCTATCTGGGGAGGGGGTCTTCCTTCACTGCTTTAGTGGTATCTGGCACTGTCCTTTTGGGGTATACTTCCAAGAGGCAGGATGCAAGCTTGGCACTGATTTTTTTTACTGTCTTTCTGGGGGGCATGTGACCTTTTCTTAAATCTGGATGATTTCCTTAGGATATCTTGTGAGGTGAGTGAGACCAGCTGGTGTCTTTAAGTGGTGCAAATGGATCTAAGGATTACTTCTCCTGTGTGTGCTCTTTCTGGAGAGCTTAAATGACCTCTCTGCTAAAGGGTTTCACTTTATGAGCAAGAGTTGGCTGCTTGATAGTTATCACTGCATTTTAACTATTTTCATTCCTCAAGGTGCTCTGGCACCCTGCCTGATTTGTAACTCTGGCTTGCAGGTATTTTTAATCTAATGATTGGTATTTAGGGCAGCTTTTTGCAAGCAAAGAAGCTTTTTGTATTTTTGTGCAGGTAATCCTTGATTTACAACAGTTCATTTAGTGACCATTCAAAGTTACAATGGCACTGAAAAAAGACTTATGACCATTTCTCACACTTATGACCATTGCAGCATCTGCATAGTCATGAGAGGCCAGGTGAGGAAAAGCACCCCTTGACATGAGTGATGTTGAGTTGGCCATGCCCACCCAGTCACATGACCACCAAGCCACAGCACCAACTAAGCCCACAGAATCAGTTGTTAAAAAATTGAAAATTGTCTGAATACTTTCCTTTTCATCAGCAATACCTACAACCTGGAGTTACAAATCAGGCTAAGTGCCAGAGCACCTTGAGGAATTAATATAATTAAAATACAATGATAACTATCATCAGCCAACTCTTGTTCTTAAAGTGAAACCCTTTAGCAGGGGCTGCCACAAACAATATTCTCCATTTTGTCTTTCAATTTGTTAGAGAGTTCTTTATGCAGCCATGCTGGTTTCTTTTGAGAACTGTTATTTTTCTTCTTCATTTGGTATTGTGCTAGATTGGGCTTTTATAATCTCACTTTTCAAAATTTCCCAAGCTTCTTGAATTGTTTTCTCCTTGAGGATTCTCATCCATGGAATCTTTCCCAACATCTCTCTAAGTTTATTGAAATTAGCTCTCTTAAAGTCCAAGACTCTAGTTTGACTTTGTTCGACTACTTGTGCTTGCATAATGTTGAATTCCAATGTTGCATGTTTGCTTGCCCCCAAGATTCCTGTAGTTTCAACACCTTCTATCATTTCATCTCTGTTAGTGAGAATTAAGTCCAATATGGCTGATCCCCTTGTTCCCTTCTCTACTTTTTGGGAAACAAAGTTGTCTGTTAGGTTTGTTAGGAATGTTGGATCTTCCACTTGGTGCAGAGTTTGTCTCCCAGTTGATGTCAGGGTAGTTGAAATCCCCCATTACTATTGTGATGTGCTTCCTACATAGTTAGGTGGCTGGCAAAAAGTTCATCTATTTCCTCTGTTTGGTTGAGTGGCCTATAGTATACACCTTTGGCAATATCATTTTTTCCCCTTTAATATTGACCCAAATGCATTCAAGATAATTTTCATCATTAATCAGAACTCAGTAATCACTCCTGCATGAACTGCACTGGTTACCAGTATGTTTCCAGGTGCAATTCAAGATGCTGGTGATTACCTATAAAGCCCTACATGACTTGGGACCAGGGTACATGAGGAATCACTTTTCTCCAAGAATTTCTACCTATCCAATTAGATTAAACAGGATGGGCATGATACAGATGCAGACTAGAAAGTTAGCTTTTTCTACCACAGCTCCTTTTCTGTGGGACATTCTCTCTCTTTGCTTTGTGTTGGGCTCTGATAGTTATTCTCCTATCATAATCTCATTCATGATTCTACCTTCCTGAATCTAATTACTGGTGTTAAGATTACAACTTTATGGGTTCTAATTATCAGTTTACAAAGCAGCCCTGGGATTACCCCTAACATCAAGGCCTACCCACCATGAAGGGTTGAATTCCTGCCTTGACTAGGGGACATCTTCAGTGTTCTAAAGTTGTTCATGCTATATTATGGCTTTTATTTTTCTCATTGATTCTGCCTTATAAGAGAGCATCTTAGGTGCCTTTGAAGTCGTTAAAGATTTGGGCCCATATTGAGCTGTTAAAATGTCATTTATTTTAAAATATTGCCTCTGATGTGACCTAAATTTCAAGTCAGGAGAAATCCTTAAAATTGTCATTGTACAATACTTTTAAATCCCAATTATTCTTAAAAGCAGAATGTGTTTCATAATTCTGTACTTCTCTTACAAAATACAGTAAGGTAGAAAGTAGAGTAGTGCATAAAATTGTTAAAATATTATTGCATATATAAAAAATGTATAGCCACACCATGCTGAAATAAGACATTTCAGGTCTAACTACTGCTTTACAATGTTGACCAAAAGTTCAAGGATCAAATAAAACCCTGACAAGTGCCATATTACAACTCAAAAAGAAACTACTGTACTGCAGGAGTTGAAATATTAAATATTAATCCCCAAACTAACTTTTGGGGATAGAGATAGCTAATCATCACTTGCTTTAAAAATTTAATCTAAACTAAATCAGGTATTATTTCTGGGTCTCAGATGCCATTCAATTCTTGGCTATCTCCCACAAATTGATTAATAAAAGTAAAGTTTCTGCTGACTTTCTGAGACTTATAGAAAAGGGAAAAACATTTATTATTCAGTTAATATTTAAACCCAACTCTCTTCTGTAATTATTTCATAAACTAAGCTCTGTTGATGTTGTTGCTGCAAACAATATACCAGAAGCTTATTAGCTTTCTCTATGGATTCCGAATACTTTTAATAGCTTTCTCTCAGCACATATTTAATAACGATCCTATGGCCAGTCAAATCTGCCCTGCTATTGACTGTCCAGGTTGATTTCATATGCAGTTATATTGTCCTTTTTACAATATTGTGTGCAGAAGGGTCATATTTTGTCTCTGCTCCTATTAATAATGCTAGATGCTTCAGGTCAGCCTGACAAACTTTAGGTTGATCTTGTTCCATCAGATAAGGAAGATTTTCTTCCATAATTGGAAGAAATAATTGGAAGTATAACAGTGGTGGATGAGATAAACAAAAAAACCAAACAAAAACATTTAAAATACCAATAATTGGTAACTATCAATAATATTGAATAATATCAATAACATTGAATAATATCAATAATATTGAAAGTTACTAATTATTGGTATTTTAAGTGTTTTTTTCAGTGATCTGTGATTAATACTTGAGATATTGAATAAATAAATATGGGCAAAGAATGAGAATATGTGAATTTATAGTATAGAATAGAGAATGTCTTCTACACTGAAATGTAAATAAAGCTTTATGTGCACGCAGATACTCATACATACACAAACACACACGGAAAGAGCCATGCAATCACATGAATATAATGCCCCGGGCCCATGTTAAAAAAAAATCACACAACTAAATTTGCTCATTTAACTGTATTTCAAGGAAAAATTTCCAAGTTTTACTTTAATGCATTTTTAGAGTCTGATAGATAGCAATTTGGATTTATGTAAAGAAAGATAAAGTGATAGCACATGGTGATGTCAGGTCATTCGCCAGTTGTTGAAGATATCCACGGCAGTAGATGTAGATGACATTATTGTCTATTAAAATGTATAAAATAATAGGTTAATAAAAGTGGATTTAACATTTATTTTGCCTTCTGAATTCCAAAACACATTTCCTGTAAATGCCTTGCAATGCTTTGTGAATGCAAACAATATCAGGCACATTATCCCAATCTACATTTGTGACATTTCTATTAGGAAAGGATTTTCTTACTGTTTACAGCAAACTTCCGTGCTGCTACAATCCCATTGTCCAATAAAGTAGAAGCCTACAGGACAGGGAGGTTGAAAGCAGCTTCCTCCTCGTTGAAAACAAAGCATACCAGCACTCACTGCAAAAAGGAAAAGATGAGACAAGTTAATGATAAATAAATATACTTTATTATTTACATGCATTTCTCTTTCTATGCTACCACCACTGCTAAGTATTCCTGTGCTTTCAAGCAGTTTCATTTGACCAAATCAGTGGTGGTATTCAGCAGGTTCTGACCAGTTCTGGAGAACTAGCAGAAATTTTGAGTAGTTAGGAGAACCGGCAAATACCACCTCTGACTCGCCCCATCTCAATCTATTCTCTGCCTCCTGAGTCCCAGCTGATCAGCTGGGTCTTCTTTTGTTGCCCTGAACAGGAGAACGGAGCTGGAAAGCAGGTTAGTAGGGTGGGGAGGGAATGGGATTTTGCAGTAACCTTCTCCTTCGAATGGGGTGGGAATGGAGATTTTGAAATATCCTTCCCCTGCCATGCCCACCAAGCCACACTCACCAAGCTACGTCATGCCTACCAAGCCATGCCCACAGAATTGGTAGTAAAATTTTTTGAATCCCACCACTGGACCAGATGTATCAGTTTTCACTGCTACCCCTGCAATAGCCCAAATATCACAAATCAAACAAAATCTCAACCGTGGCCAGAGTAGAATTGGCTGGTAGGTGTGTACCTTTTGAGGCAGTTGAGAGGAAACAATCTGCTTCATTACAAAGGACACCTTGCTTTGATATCTCTCTCTTCCCAGTATTACAATTAATTCTTGATTGCTAAGAAACATTCTTGGGTTACAATGGCTGTGTCCAGTAGGTGTTTTAAATAGAGATTTTTTGGGGGGGAGGGGGTAAAAATGGATAATTTTCTGATTTGCCTCTGGATTTTTCTCTCTTTCCTTAATGTACAAAATATTTCCACTGCTGCTCTTTTCTGCTCTTAAAAGACTGCACATATGTGAGCTAGTTAAGATTTGCATGAGCAACCTCCAGGATATCCCAGCTGTCAAAAAAGCTTTAGAGAAAATGGGAAGAATACACCAGTTTTGAACTGCTCTGAAAGAGAAGTACATTGAGTTGTTCACTTAATCATCAAGAGTCAAGCTTTTCTTAAGGGAGTGTGTATACGTTGCTTTCTCTATTAAGAAAATAATGATATGTACTTGGAAAAAGATAATTTATCTACTTCTAGATATTTCCATTTTGAAATAAGTATGAGTAAATTCACTTGATGATTACTATAGTATAAACATTTTCCTTCTTTACTCAACCCCCCCCCCCCAAATAGAATAGTGAATTAATACATTGGGTTTTTTGGGCCCTTCTTGGCACATATATCATATTGGATATCTAGTTTTAATTAAGCAGAAAAATCAAATACATATTTTTCAGATGTTTGGAAGTTCAGATTGTCAGTATTCCAAACCTCATAACTATTTTTAGAGCAAAGAAAGGTCCTAATTGTTGA